AAAAATGAAATTATAAATGTTTATAAAATATGTGATAACTTTAAATTTGCTATATATACAAAATATTATTATAAAATAAAATAAATAATATATATTAAATCTCAAAATCATAACAAAGATATAATATAGAGTTTTTTATATTAAAAGCAAATATTAAATCTCAAATTTTAAATAATATATATAATTTATATATGCCATTAAAATTTACATAAAAATATATCCATAGCAAATAATAAATAAAAATCTTAAGCAAATATAAACATAAATATAATTCTATATAAACTTTACTATATATATATATATATATATATATATATATATAATAACACTGTAATATACATATAAACTGAATATTCTTAACAAATATAAGATTAAAATCAATTTTAGAATATATTAGTAAAAGAAATAATTAAATATTCAATTTTAAAATTTCATTTAAATGTCAATCTTTAATGTAATTTTTTGTAATGTTTGAAAATATAGCCAACATTTATAATAAAAACATGATATTCATTGCAGATTTATGTGTCAATATATTTCAGGTGTATAATAGTATAATATAATACATAAAAACTCAATATTTCCGTATTTTGCAGATATAAGTACAGAATAACTATACTATTATATATAACATGTATTGTATATTCTATAATATGCGGACATATTTGTGTAAAAATATTTTATTTATGAAGTGAATGATTGTATGAAAAGTGGTTTTTGAAGCATTCAATGTATAAATTTGTACATTTATAACATTTTTGATAAGAAATCAGATAAATTTCTAATCATATGATATGAATGATAAAATAGAAAATGGATTTAATGAGAAAATAAATTATTGAAATTATTATATTTATTATTTTTAGAGAAAGAGAGAAATTATTTTAATATATTATGTTTTATTTTAATAATTTTGTTATTGCAAAATATTTCAATATACAGTTTAAGTACAACACTTGATTTTTTGATTGATTTTTAAATCTATTGTATTATAATAAAAATTAACACTCAATGATTATCCATTTTTTTTGTGCGATAGACTTTAATAAAGGGTAAAGTTATTAACAGTTAATAAAGTTGATAAATGTCCAGTACTTGTCTGGAAAATCCAAAATAAAAATATTGAGTTTACATTTTTTAGTCAATTATTTCTAATTTCTAAAAAATAATTTTATAAAATATTATTTTCTTTAACTTAATATGACTTATATGGATATTTAATTGATAGATAATTAGGTAATATTATTTAAATTACATTATATTAATAAATAAAATGTTGACATAAATAATTGTAAAACACTGTTATATTATAAAAATAATTTTTTATATTAGTCGACACTATTTAACTAAGATTACTGATAAAATTTGTTAATATAGTAATATTAATATTATTATTGGAAACTATGTATACATTTACTAAACATAATGTTTATTACAGTACTAATCACTTACAATACACTCACTTACTTGTTATTAGTCTTTTATTCTTAAGATCTTTCATTAAGTCTATGTAATTGACATTAAGTACAAATTTTATCAAAAAATATAATCCTAAAAATTTATTTTTAAATTTAATGTTTTATTATAAAATAATAGATTAAATATTCAGTCAATGTTTAAGAGAAATAGTTTTTACAAAATAAAATTACTAATCTTTAAGTTATCAGTTATTGCTTATAACTAGAGTTATGCATCTTCGGGAGTTTAAATGGCCAAAATCGGTCGGGAATCGGGAGTAAAAAATGACAACATCGGGAAATTAAACTGTTTTTTCTTATAATACTAATAATGAAAGTTTATATGTCATAAAATCAGTTATATTTGCTAAAAATAATTTATTTTCAGTTTTTAATTGATTATAAAAATGCATTTAGTTTTAGTATATAAACTACACTTTGTTTTACCCATTGTTAAAAATACATTAATTAAGTACACTATTACAGTAAATATGTTTACAATACATACAAAACTACAATTTTTATATCAAAATATTGCTTAAAGTGTGTTTTTTCTAATAAATATCATCCCATTCATTGATATTGAGTTAATATTGTATGAGATAATATGGTATTCAATATGTATTTAAATGTTATGTCAATCAATATTTAGCGTATTTCGGGAAAAATACACTTAAATACGGTTTTTCGGTATTTTCGGGATTTTCTCAAAAAACACCAGATATCAGGAAAAACAATAAACGATAATTTCATTTAAAATGTTACCATATTTCTATAAATAATAAATTACCGATGATTTAATATATAATAATGTTTAGGGAATTCCCGAAGATACCTAACTCTACTTATAAAATACAGTATAAGTATAGTAATTATTTAATAACATAAAATTGTTTGCAAAAAAGTGATGAAATAATTTAGTCTAATTGCTGATCCATTTAAATTTATATCTACTTATAAACTAAATCTTATTATATTTATTTTGTTTCTTTTAATTTTGCGATTGGATCGCCATATTATAAAGGTTTTTGATATAATAATTTACTTTAGTATAAAATTTATATATATTTTAAAATGTTAGTCTTGAATATAAAAATAATATATACTTATTATACTTGTGTTAGTTTTAGTAATATGTACTAAATATTGTTAGACTAAATGCATTCAAAAAAGTCAAACATTTAGTAATCTATTTTGAATGACTAAAAGCGATTTAACACAGTATTACATAATATAATTTGTTGTACTCTGTTGTGTCAAATCTGTGAAACAGTTAGTTTAGCTATAATATCAATCTATAAGGCATTTACCTCTTTATTATTACTTAATATACATTTATATATCTCATGTTTTGTGTTGAGTTTAACAGTGAATTTTTGTCTATAAGATATATCAATATTTTCTCTTCAAATTCAGCATTTTCTTGACTATAATGTTGTGTATAAATAGTGGTTCCGTCACTACTGTATATATGTTTGATGACTGTATAAAATACCTGTGCTGAGCACAGGGAGCATGTGTGCTCTATGTATATCAATTAAATGGTCACAATGTCTCTCTCAAAGCGGCAGCACTTGATTACAGACACAGAATATTCTGTTTGATTTAAATATCAGAAAAACTATTTATTAAAGCATTATATTGAAAAATATAGCGATATCTATGAAACAGTTTTGATACATATATTATGGATTATTTCATTATTATTATTTCTTTAGATATTTATATAAAATAGTAATACAGTAAATGTATTTATAGTACAGTATATAAACAAAGAAATTATTAAAAATACTATACTATTATATAATGATTGCTTTGAAACAAAATATCTTTTAGAAATTGTAGTTAAATCTGAAGTTTTTGTCATAAGTTTTAGATCTCTTTTTTAGTTATATTTTGTCATTTCTATAAATCTTATGATCATTAGATACAAAGTGATTGCCTATACTTTTAGTGGCCAACAACTCCTTGAAACAAATATAAAGTTATATAAATCTTTTAATGTTTTTATTTATATTTTGCTGATTTTACTAACATTATTTACAGTCACAAAACAATATATAATAAATATAATAGATATTTTATATATTTTTCTTTATAGTCAATCATTACTATTGTAACAATAATATAAATCTCTAAATATATAAAACACAAATTAATTAAAGTTATTTTCTCTGTAAATTATTTTTTCTTAACTACTATACAGTTCAGTAACTAAATAATATATATTTGTTATTAATATTTAAATCTTAAAATTTGTTTTAATTTTAATTATTATAATAGTTTATTAAATAAAAAATTAATTATCACTAATCACTAATCAATTGATATTTAGATATAAAAATACTAAAATCTTTAATAGTATTTATTATTATAATAAATCTATTTAGAAAACAAATAAATAAAAAATTATATTAAATTATTTTGCATAAATTAAATAAGTAGAATTGTTTATTGTAGACATAGACTAATATTATTTAACTAAAATGATTTAAACCTATTAACAAAAAAATAATTTTTTTTATCATTTAAATTATATTACACTTAAAATCTTTAAAATATAATAGAAATTTTAATAATAATTATTATATTATATTATAAGTTTAGCAAAATTGTTAGTAAAATTTTGCCCAATAGATGGAGTAAACTTAACAATAAATTTATATTAAAGTATTTATTATTATTTTTATTAATAATATTTATTTTATTATTATTTTTATTATATACTGTACTACTATATTGTATATAATTTATAATATACTTTCACAATATTAATATAATGATTATTAAAATTATATAAAAATTTATTTCTAAGTTTATTTCTCAATTAATTAAATTATTTAATTCATATAAAGTATAAATTATTTTCATTATTAAACATGAATTAAAAATACTGTAGATTTACTATAATTTTTAGATAAAAATAAGTAATAGAAATCATTATTTTACTATATGTACAATTTAATAATTATAATATTTATGAATTATTAAATATATTTTGATATTTGTTTTTTTTAACCAAAATTCTGATATAAGTAAACTGTAATTATTTCAATATAAAATATAGGTAAAAATGATTTATTCATAAACCTAGTTATTGATAATATATGAACTGTCAAAAATTGTTTGTTATATTTATTATATAAAATTAATTTAGTAGAAAATATAAAGTATTTACTTTAGATCATACAGTACTTAATTATTAGGTTGAATGACATTTACTATCACTAACATATAATACTACTAAAGTACTATTACATGAATTATTATATTATTTACAAACAGTAGTTTTACTAATATGTAAATATATTATCGAAAAAAATAATTAAATAATATATTTTTATTTATATATTACTTTTAGAATACAAATAATTTATTTTATGTATTATTTTGCAGATAATATCATCCGATTTTATAATTAATATATTGAAGTAATTTTCCAAATAAATGTGAAATTTCAAGTCTAAAATCATCATCAATACAATTGACTTAATAATCAAAATTAATTAAATATTTTTTTCTATAAATTTAATTAATAAAAATACAAAACTACAAAAAGTGTAATAATGGCAGCATTTATAGCAAAACAAATGGTTGGAAATCAATTGTCGGCCGTTAAAGGTTTGTCATATACTTTATATAATTATAATTGAAATTAATCTATAGTTTTATGCAAATTAGTTGATTATTGATGAAATGAGGTCATTGTTATTGATCTATTCGTATATACAATATAATGATTATCTCTCATATAATAAATGCGTTTTTATAGTATAGTACAGTATATTGTATTGCAATATTGATTTCATACTTTTATTGTGTAATGCATTTGTTTTGTCACGTTATGAAACCCATAGAGATATAAATGTATAGTATATAACAAAAATACATCTATAGGTATATTAGGTGTGTGCCTATTTGGTAGACCCTATTTTCGATATGGTTGACACATTTTATTTGTTTTATTTGGAAAAGGAATTTATATATATATATAATATTATGAATATTTATACAGAAATTGGTAAACTACTGTAAATATGACTTAAATAAGTTTTAGCAATTTTAATTATTTAAAAATAGTGGGTGATATTGGATAATTTTTCTTCTAAATTATAAAAAATACATTAATTTAATTTAAATATTTTGTTTGTTTGTTGTATTAATATCTTGAATATTTGAGTGAATAAGTAAAGAGAGTTTGGTAACCCTACTAATAGGTCCCTCATTGAGCCTTATGGCTATCTATTGGATATAACATACAGAATCGCGAAGCACTCATAGATTTTACTAACTTTGTCTACAATTTTAGTTACCAAATAACAAGTCTATAGTAATGTCTATATATAGTATATATGAGAAACACATCCCAATAGACTTATTTGACTGCAACTCACTTAAAGGCATAACATATATTACATCAATTTGTGTGATAGAGATGAAAATAAACAACAAATATAAGGACTATATATCTAACTATAGATCTGTGTTTATTTTAATTGAGATAATGTTACACTTTTTTGTTTTTTATTATGAAATACAGTATCTTTTGTAGCATCTTTTGTATTATAAGAATATCATTTAAAAATTTTATAATAATTTATTAGTCGACATTTACTTAAATAAATCATATGATGTACCGGTACATGCAATTTGTTTTTAAAAATTAAATAATATTTATAGTATACATGTAATATCAGTAGTAAAGTGAAAAGTCATGTAATTCAATTGATTTACAACATTGCAAACTTGATTTTGACCAATATTTATTTATTTGTCATAATATTTTATATACTATTATATTTTTAAGAATATACAAATGTTGTATAATATTTTGTAACAAATAAAATTAGTTATCATAAAATTATCCCACATTTACTATTTATTTATAGCTTATTTCTAAATAATTTTAATGATTATTATACAGTATATACCAAGTATTTAAATGAGTGATATTAAAACTTTGGGCTTAATTATAAAAATTATCAAATATTGCATAACAAAATTCATTAAAGCCTAAAGTAAATAACAATTTAATATAAATGTCAAAAAAAGTTTTGCATTTTTAATTAATTTTGTATAATTTTACAAACCATTGATTACAAGCCATTATTTTATACAAGTCATTTGCTTATTTTAGCAATTAAATATATTTTTTCCATATAGGACTTTAAATTTTATAAATAAAATTGCCCCTGGCTACCCCTAGACAATTTTAAAACGTTGTTCCTTTCATTTAATTAATGTAAAGTATGTGTTTTGTAATATGATATACAACTATCTAAAACTTTATAATAATAATAGTAATGATAATAATAATCATAATAACCTTTTACTTTAATAATAATAATAATAAAATATATTTGTTCTCATTTTAGTAAATTATAGGTCTTTTTTATTTTTTTCTGCTCATTATATTTAGTTTTACTTTAGTTTTTTAAGTAAAAGTATTTTTTATTGTAACAATTGAAGTCATAAATGAGTGCATATCTGTATGGCTTAAATTGAATGTCATTTTTTGTTGTATTATTTTTAATGAAAAATTCTTATCTGTTACTAATGAATTAGATTTTATGTTTTGTTGAAAAAAACTTTAGTTTTTAAGCATTTTTTCATTAATTAAATTTCTTTTTACAATGTAATAAAAAACTTTAAAATTTAAGAAATATTTTTGAAATTAATTTTATATGTAATAATAATAATTTTTATTAAGCTTTTTTATTATGCCAAAAAACATAATTTAGTATTTTTAATAAAAAGGCTTGAAAAATGTAAGTTTAAATTTACAATATAAATATAAGAATATAAATCTAAGTTTAATTAATAAATACAATATATAACAATTTATAGTTTATTACAACTAAAATAGATGCTAAACATTGCATTATATGACATCAATTTATTAATTACTAGAATAAGTTCGCCAATTCATAAAAACTTATTGATACTTAATTAAAATTTTTTTTATATGATATATTGAATAGTATATGTTGTAAACATGGTATATACTGTATACTGTATATATATATATATAGTAAATAATATGTATAACTGATTGCATTAGACCTGTGCTCTGAGCTTTAGGATTGTTGTTTGTGTTTAATAAAAACAAATATCCTTTTGGATTGACTAATAAAATGAGATGAGATGTATGTGACACACACTCTCTCACATCTATAATCAGATTAAATAGTGATGTAAATTGCTTTCAATACAATTACTATATAAAATAAAAGACACAATAATTTTGTCTATAAAACTAAAATAATGAAATAAATTATATATATTGTCAGGATTTACTTATTTTCATATATCTTAATAATATTTGATTAATTTAGCAAAAGTATATATCTGTAGAAATGATTAATGTTTAGACATTAGCTTTAATAATAGCAATTCATAAGCCAAAACAAAACTAAATCACACATTTGATAACCTGATGGCCAAAAACATTGCTATATTTATATATTACTTGAATTGTCATTAACTGACACTCAACACATTGTTATAGACTGATAATCAAAACTAATGATTTGCAGTGTTATAGATGTATACTAAAGCATATAATCATTTGTTATAATTTTATTGTGGGATTAACTGAATACCAATGATGATGACGGGTCTGATCTAATACAACAAAGACAAAGTACAAAATATACAAGTCTTAGACCGGTATATATATAATGAGATTAATATATTTGTCCAAAAAAGCATTATTAGCGCACAAAACATAATGATCGGCATATCTAAGGCTTTACATCAACATAACCGTACAATTGGCAGACACTTTGGCCGTAATCTTACAAATTGTTAATAAACACATAATTAACAGTATCTGTAAATATAGTAATATATTTATATATGAGAATCAAATAACTGGACTTTGTATAGGATTTAAATAAATTTATATTAATTTCAATTAAGATCATAAATCAAATAAAACATTATCAAATCTAAAGCAATAATTTATTATTATAATAATAATATTTAATAATCGATATAATATTCAATATATAAATTTATATTGAAATGAACAATATGCTTTAAATATTTTAGTCAGATACAGTAATAATTTATTATAATTTATATATGATATTATACTGTATTATACATGACAAACAAAATAAGTTATTATAAAAATGTTGTCATAAACCAAATTTAGTTTGGAATAAAACAATTTTTATGATTATAATCAAACTTACTTATTATACAAATTAATTTTATTAATAAAATTTTGTGTAAATAATTAGATGTCGTTTTTATTATGACATTTATGATTATTAACGTTTATAGCATACCTATGATTTAATAAATATACTAGTTAAAGCTTAAAGGCTAAATGATCTAGGAATCTTTATATTATCTATTTATATTACTTATATAAGTAATATATGTCATCTATTAAACAATATTTATATATATAAGTCATATTATAGTATATATAAGGATTATATTTCAAATAATATGACACTTATATTAAATTCTTTATCAGTCATTAAATGGATGGCCTATTAAATTGTTGGCATAGATATGTCAAAATGTGCTTTAATTTGTCAATCATTTATAATTATATGACTTTGATCTTGTGTTAATAAAGTTGGATAAATTTTATTCAAACAGTAAGTTTGAGTAAAAATCTAGATTTTAATAATATTTATCTTTGAAGTTATAGTTAATTTAATTATAAGTATTTAATAATATTTCTTAACAAATAAATTGTTTATACATTAATTCTTTTAAAAAGTCTATTGAGATATAAAAATCAAATATATTTTTAAATAAAATGATTTTCATACTTATAATAATAATATAATACTGCATCATATATTGTAAAATATTTGGTAAAATTAAAGAAATTTTTAAAGAAACCACTAATAAATTTTAGTTAATTAAAATTTTCTCAACAAATTAAATAAAGTCATAAAACTAATTTCATTTTGTTTATAATAAAAGTCATGTCAAATATGTTTATTAATATCAATAAACTAAATAATTATTAAATACAATCATGTAATAGAAAATTATTGATTTTTGTTGCTATTGTCTACCAAAAACTCATAGCTTTGGTATTAAAATGAAAATATTTCTTATGTTATCAAATAATTTGCATAACTTTCCGCTTAGTTATGTCTTTCAATATACCATTTATAACTTTTCCTTATTATTACAAAGTCATATTGTTTGATAAAATAGGCAATCATTGAATAAATGTGTGAGATTTACTACAATATATAAATATTAACTGCAAAGATATATATATATTGTCTCGTATTCAGGGAATCGTATGGTTTAATGAAAGTGTCTGTAATAAAGCCGATCTTCAGAAATATAAACAACCATTTTATAGCTTTTTGTGTAAAATGTGAGCAAAATTCTTGAATAGCTTCTTATATTTTTTTATATATTTTATGAATATAGCAATCAATCAAACACTAAATTAAATACTATTCAAGTCATGAATGAAATTGTGATGAGATATATAATATATTCAGCACATGTTAAGCATAACTAATAGGAAATTGCAATCAATATAAATGTAAATTCAAAATTTTAAATTTAAAAAAAACGTTTGTAAAAAATGATATTTTATTGCTTCAATAACTTAACAACTAAAACAATAACAAATTAAGTTTAATAAAATAATTAAATCAAATCATTTTTTTATTAAGGACAGTTTTATAAAAAATATTAGAAAATATTATATGTTAGTACACATGTATATTAGATATATAAAATTTAAAAAAACTTAAAAAATAATAAAATTTAGTTATTATTTTTATTTGTAACTAACAAAATAATTGTATTTAATTAAAAGAAAATTACATTATTTACTATAATATTTTTGTCTACAGAATAAGATATATTTTCTGTATATAAACAATATATATACAGTATATATATATATATTTATATATATAATACAAGAAAGTAATCATTAAATGTCAGACACATCTGTGTCGACGATCTTTAAATACAAATGATTGTTACAAATCTATTGACCAGTCATTGAGTTAATGGATTCAAGTGTGCAATTGATTGACATTATTATGCAACCAACAAATCATTGATTAAAATGCGTTACATGTTTAGTAACCTCTAAACAAATATATCGTTTATTCTCATATATTCAGTAAAATAAAATTGAATAAAATTGTTTATATCATTGACTAATATTTTATAATTTCGTTGAAAAAAAAATTGTCAACAAAATGATTTCAAAACAATACATGGATTTTGGATTTTCTCAGTTTTCTATTAGAATTATCAAAAATATGAACAAAAATAGATATCCCAAGTGTTGGTCACCAATGACTTGTCTGTCAAAAAACTTGAAACATAAGCCGTCAGATACTATATTTTGTCCAATTTGTTATCATATCTTTGGGGCAATGATTTTAGTTTTTGTAAAAACATATTACAGATAAATATTAAGTCTACTAGTTTTGATAACTTTTTATATATTTATATATATCTTATATAAAAATTTATATATAACATATATATATAAATTTGTCAATATTTGTTATCAATCAAATTATTAATAATGATCATTTTTGACAATATAAAATATAATTGATTTTTATTAGAGAAAAATATTTATATTAAATAATTTTTATGATTAAAAATAAGAGAGAACGTTATTATATTTTAAATATAAATTTCTAAATCTGTAAAATGCAATAATCAAACAAATAATAACCAAAAAAATTATTTATAGACATCGGTGGCGGAGAAAGTATGACAGCCGAAGAAAAGGAACGGTTAGCTCAGTTAGAACAGGAAAGGCTTGAAGCGCTCCGGTATTGTATTAAATACAATATATATATATATATATATATATATATATTATTTATATCTATAATTTTTTTATATAAAAATTGGTTAATTGTTGTCGTAATATTAAAATAATACATTTTTATAATATATAATTTTATATAATAAGATTATTGTACTTTTTTTTGTTAAAAACACCAATTTATTAGTACAAACCACACATAAATTATTACATAAAACAGAAATATAGTTTAAGAGTAAAATAGAAGATTAGAAACATATAAAAGATTTTTTTCTTTTATTTGTTTTTCTAAACTTTTTCAATCATTTTCATTATACCCATTATTTTAGTGTTCATTAGACATTTAACTACTATTTAGACTTTTAGTATAGTTAGTTAAAATATCCTTAAATGCAATTAAATATAAATCACATAAATATTAGATAGCAAACAAAATTCTAACAAACAAAACAATACTAAAGTAGACAACTATTATTATAAAAGAGTTACTATACTTGTATTTTACTGTAATAAAAGTATACATTTTTCATTTTAAAACAACTTATATTTAGTTGGATACATTAATTACTTAATTTTATGATTTTATTTAACTATTATTAATAATTTATTAATAAAAATAAGACAAAATATAATAACAAAAAACAAAAAATTGATTTTTCAGAGAACAAGAAGAGAGAAGAAAAGAAAAGCACAGAAAGATAGAAGTGGAGAGAGAAAAGATGAGGAAAGGGATTAGGGATAAGGTGTGTGCCATTAATTACATGTCTAACCCATAAGACTATAATGTATTGCAGAGAGAGAGAGAGAGAGAGAGAGAGAGAGAGAGAGAGAGAGAGAGAGAGAGAGAGAGAGAGAGAGAGAGAGAGCTTCACTCAATTACTGATAAGATTTCGTTATTGTTTTTAATTCACACTCTCTTTGTTCACTAATTTTATTTCATTTATGTGTCAATCAGTATAACATCAAAAAGAAAGAGCAGATCAGTCGAGAGGAGTCCATCGATGCCATTAAAAAACAGGACTCTGTCTGCTCTGAGAGTGGACTCAATCGCAGAAAGAAAACACCTGAAGAAATGACCGCCGAAGCAGAGGAGGCAGATCTCGACGACTTTAGCAGTTAGTAATATAAATATTTTATTTTATAATTTTTTTATTACATTTGATTATCAAATAAAGCAAAGATAATTTGTTTAAAAGTTTTATATTGTTTTATAGTAGTCTAATAGAAAAATAGTAAATTATTAAATTACATGTTAAGTTAAGTTAATTTAGTTTATTTTAATTTTAATGTATATTTGATAATAAAGTTTTAACATTTTACTTCTACAAAATTGCACAATAAAAACAAATAGTTTACAAATAATATCACAAACAATCATCTTTTGGCTATAATAATAAACTTTATTTTAAAATTTATTTATATTGTCATTTTAAATACTAGAATATTTAAATTTATTTTCGCAATAATTGTGGTCACAAATAAAATTGAAAGCAATGCTATTAAAAAACTCATCCCTCTATAGACTTATTTATAGTTTTATAATATAAATCTATTGTATTAATGTCTGTAATTTCACTGTAATTTAAAAACTAATGCCATTAGATTTGTGTTGAGATTTCAGACTCAAATCGACAATCAAATAAATTCCTTATTTTATTATTATTTCTTAAATAATAATAAAGAAAATTATTTACAATTTGCTGAATAAGCATTTAGTTAATGGTATGATTTAAAATTAATATAAAAGATATTGGAAAAAGAGAAAATTTAATATCATTTAATTTATTTTATTAAATACGTAAAATAAACTAAAAAATAAATTAAAATAAATTTGTTATGTTATTTTATAATACAAGATATTCAAAATAAATTTAAAAAAGCATATATTAAATCAAAATATTTATTATAAAAATTTAAAAAAAAATATTTTTGATATAGTAATAATATATATTTTACAATAGCATTTCACATTTATTTATTTTAATATACTGTATATTATTTTATAATAACTTTTCCCATAAAATAAATATTTATTTATTTAAATTTTATCTTTCTATTGAAAAATATAAGAATTAAACAAATAGTATACTGTATTTCAACGTCAAATAATGTTTAAAAAATATATTATAAAACTCTTCTGTAAACTTTTAAAAAATCTTTAAACTGAATATAAAATGGCAAAAACAATTGACTGCAAAGATTTTTTTTAAATACTAAAAAATATATTAAAAATCAATTTACATTTTATTGAGTTTTTATATACTAAAACATCTATTTTTTTATTTAACTTAAGTTTAACATAAATCCATAGTTACTAAAACAAAATACAAGTATTTATTGAATATTGTGATTTTTTTTTGAATAGTTTAATTTTTTAAAAACAACACATAGTTAACATTATTATTATTATTATTATTATTATTATTATTATTATTATTATTATTTTAATATTAAAAATATTTAAATTTGCAATTCTTAGAAAATATAATTTTATTGTTTTTTTAAAAAAAATTATTTGAATGTCAAAACAGAATTCAAGAACTCATTGGAACACAGATTCAGTGAATTGAAGAACTCTATTGAGTCGAGATGTGTCATACAATAGGGATCAGACATATGTCACCAAAAAATAGGTCTATATATATGTATATTATATACAATACATATATAAACTACTATATTGTAAATCTATTTGTTTATATGTAACTCATATATGTTTGACAGAGATGTCAGTGTATATGAGATACTAACTAACCTGTGCTATAAAAATGATTACTTTATTATAAGATAATATTACTAATGTTTAGGCTATTTATTAGCAATATTTCTATTAATAATTAGACGACAAATATATGCTATTTGACGTCTAAATATTAATATTGTTATTAAAATTTTGTTTGTTCTGTACAAACTGTACAAACTATTATTGTTTTTATTTAATTACATATTAAATGTGATAACGAGTAATATATCTCTATATACAGTATATAAAATATATAATGTATATTGTTATTTAATTAAACAACTATAATATATTATCACAAAAATTTTTAATTAGTAAAAAGTATGTATTTACTAATGTTTTTGATATTATGCTAATATTTACAATTATCTGTTTGTTTTATATGATAATACAGTATAATTGTCTATTACAATTTAGAAAAATAATATTATGATAAATGTATAATTTGCTAAATTTATATATTATACTGTATATCATATTTTAATGTTATAACATAAATATTTTAAAGCAAAAACATAAAAAATTATTTCAATTATTTTAAAATATACAGTACAATATGCAAATCTAATTAAATATTTAATCTATGGATATTATACTGTAATGATAGTTAAAAAATTGTATGCATTAACATTCAAAAATTTAGTAAATATTTTTGTTATAAGTAAATTGTTTTATAAAATTTAAAAAGAATTATTTAATATTTAATTTGGTACTATATTCAGTGTTTTAATTTTATAATTATATTATTTATAGATTATAAATAATAGGCTCAATATATTTTATTTAATATTTTAACATTTGCAAATGATTAGTTGATTTATTTTGTAAATATAAGTACAAAATACAAAAATAAACGTTTTTTAGCATTTGATAGTTTAGATATTGATATGAAAACAAGTCTTAGATACGATATGCAGATATAATTAGCTAATTATTATTTATACATATTTTATAAAATTTAGTTTAAAAGTATAGCACTAATACTAATAATCGAAATATATTAATAGTTTTTAATTAGTTTTACTAAATAAATATTATAAAATAAATCATACGAAATAATTTAAAATAAATTTTAATTGACTTATATTTGCTGTATATTAATTATAAATACATAAATAAAATCATTATTATTAATGAAATTTGCTAAATTAATAGCTTTATTGCAATAATAACATTTTTTGTTTTGCTTACAATCTAAGCATTATATTTTAAAAAAGACAAAAAGTTTCAGAAATTTTTAAATATCATTTACAGTAAATTATTATAAAATAATTATAAACTAAAAAATTGCAATATTTATTATATGTTTAATTTTATCTTTCAATAAGTCTAAACTTAATTTTTATTTTTTTTATTAAAAAAATAACCATCAGAAAATTTATTTATGTATATTAATTAAATTACAAAATCTTTATATAATATATGAGACATGAATTTTAATCTAATCATGAAATATAAACAGGATATACAACGAAATATCCAATAATAAAATTTAAGATAAAAACTACATTAATTATATTATAATGTATTGGCATATAAAATATTATTGGTGTATAATATTTATTATTAATTTATAAAATTGTTAGATTTTGTAAACATTACACTTAATTTTGTATATTGTATGTTATAAATGTTGTAAATTATATATGAAGTCATATGTATAAAATATTATTAAGTCATTGTCATAATATATGTTAATATTATAATTAGTGTTTTGGTATTATTATTATTATGAAAACAAATAAATAAAATAATAATTAGGAAAGTTTGTTGTATATTTAAAAGATTCAAAAATGACTAATTAATTAATTATTTTATGATTTAAATTGACTTAAAATTTTACTTTAAATAATATGTCTATAAAGTTGAGATAAGACTATTGAAATTTAAGATTTTTATTATTGTAAAATAAAACATCAAAAATATTAATAAATATTTAGTTATATAATAATAAAATAATAAATATTAATAAAAATTATCCAAACACTAATTATAATACAATTAAAATGATACGATTAATGTATTTTTAATATAATATATAATGTTTAGTATTTATTATCATTTAAAATGTTGATATTTTAATTATTTAAATTTATATACAGTACATGTATACAATACTGTATTTAAAGTTTATTGTTTTAGATTTACTGTAAAATAAAAATTTATAATAAACTGCTAAGTATATATTATAGTAAATATTTTTTTAAATAATAAAATTCATCAGGTAAGTTTAATAAGAATACTATTTTTATATTATATTTTTAAAATAGATACTTTAAAATTTATATTAAAATATAAATAAATAATAAAAAATGAACACACATTTTTATTAATTTTTACAAATAATTAATTTTATTTTATTGTTAATTTCATTAAAATCCAAATATCTGGCACTTATTTAAAGTTACAATTAATGATAATTTACATTAAGTTTAATATAATAATAATAATAATAATAATAATACCGTAAATGTAATAATAATTATCTAATTTATGGCAACAATTGTTTTTGTCAAAATTGGCTAATTTTTGATGTATAATCACACCCAAGACACTAGAGATTTATATTATCTTATTTTTTTTGTTTTTGAGACACAATTGACAATATCATATTAATATTTTGCTATACTATTTGTAAATTAAAATAGACATCATTGTATTTAATACATAAAATTATAAATCAATATTTATTATTAGTTATACTAGTAATAACTTAATATGTTAAAGAATAATATAATTTTATGTTTTTTTGTCTATAAAGTTGCAATTATATTAACTTATTAATGTTCAAATTATCATTTATATAAATAATTTAATAAAACAATACAATATGTCTTTTTAATTCATCATAAGTAAAGTATATTTTTATCGTAATTAACATTTGGTTTATTTTCTTATCTAAAAAATGTTATCAATTTGTTTTACAGTATTATTTAGTTTTAAGTTTTCAAACATTTATAAACAATATATTTTTATAATAATTGTTTTACATACATCACTATTTTAATTACATATAAATTATTTTAGATTACATTATATTTAATTCTCTCAAATAAACAGTTGTTTGCCTTTGAATTTATTCAAATAAGCAAATTTACATACATTTGTATACAGTATATATATATATATATATATATTGAGAGAGCTTTATTAATAATCAAATTATAAATAAAATAACATTTGTAGGATTACAATAATATAATCTTTTCAATAAAATAAACAATTAAAAACAGTTTTCATATCTTATTTTAAAATTTATATGTAAATATCTGTAGATTTTCAATATACATGTTTGTATATTATTACATGTAATAGTTATAGTTGGTATAATATTAAATACAGTATAGATATTTATAATGTAAATAAATTATATAACTATTTTGTAATCAATTATTATGAGGTATAACTAAATTGATTTTTAATAATTTATATATATACAAATTTAAATTATTAATTTGTTGTTAATTGTTATAATTGTTATCAATTTTAATAATATATTTATTATTTATATAATAATAGATATACAATATATTGGATTTATAAAAATAGAGTAGAATATATTATATTAGGTATCCAATATAGCAATAATTATTAATATAATTTATTGTAGTTAATAATGTTATTTAGTTACAAATGAATTATAATTTTAATAAAGTAAAATGGGTTTTTACTTTTAATTAAATTAATTATAATTTAGAATTAATCCATAAAAGTTTATCGATAAAATTATTTCTATTAGGGATCATAAAAATATTAGACAGCATTTACATTATAGAAATGCAGTCATTGAACTAATTGAAAAATTTAATTTTTTAATAATATATTCATAGAAATAAAATTTAGATATAATTATAGAGATCTCTACACACAATTCGTTGTTGATCTACCTGTTTAGGGGTTTTCATAAAACCATTTTATAGATTCAATTAGTACCCCATTATTATTAATTAATATTTATATATATATATTTATTTATTTATATTGTATTGTATTATTTATAGTAGTAATACAATAAAGAAAATTTTTATTATCGAGAAATACTTAATAGATTTAGATAAATAAAATAATTAAAAATTTAATCTAAAAATCACTAATTTTAGTAATTGCTTAATTTTTTAAATATCAAGCAAGTAATGAATTTTGTATCCGAAAGAGCAAATTTCAAGTAAGATTATGAGTAAATTCTAAATATTTTATACTTTAATGGTAATTATGGTTTGCATTTTTCTCAATTAATTGCTAAATAAATTGAATGTTTGCTATTTACAAAATTATAACTGCTTATCATTACAAATTATATTATTATATACAACACGTTTAATTTCTATACATTTATATATTTGTTGTTAATTTTCTATACAAAGGTTATTTGATATCTAATATCTAAATTAAATGGTAATTGAGATTTAGATCGGTATTTATAAGTTGTTGTTATATATTGTATATAATATAATATATATTTTTATATAAAAGTTGTGAGCACTTTATGGCCCGTCAGTTGTCTAGAAACCTGTTTTTAATTCATTGCATTACAATGATTGTAACATAAAATATAATTACTAATAAAAACAATTTTTTAATTAATTAATTAATTACACAAACATTATTATTATTAGTATTTTAACTTATTTTGTTAAATTATTTTTTGTAGTTTAGAAAATCTATCACTTTATTTATTTTCAATAATTTATAATGACTTTGAGTTTTTCAAAAACAATTATCATTTTATCATTTTACTAGAAAACCATCAACAAATAATTATAACTCAATGTAATTATATATAACAATTTAACAAATTATTAATGTATAAATATATATATATATAAATGAATTAATTTAGTTAAAACAAATAACTATAGAAATTAGGTATATGTATAAATTATATTAATATCATAGATACGATATTAATATAAATAGTATTTTACACAACAAATATAGATAATAAACCTTTTTTAATGAGAATAATAATAATCATAATAATAACTTTAAACCCATTAAATAGATTATTATTAATTATTTTTTTAGCATTTTTAATTTAAACATTTTTCAATTCGTCTAAATCTAGTATAATATATTTATATATTTAATTTTAAAACATAACAATCGTTATTTATTTTACACAAATGGAGAGACCTTAATAAAAATGGAGGAGGATTTTCAGTAATTAGGAGGCGCCTCCATCACACATATCTCAGTCAGTCTACTGTATCGTACATTTCTCCTCAATTTGACCCTTAATATCATTCACTTGGGTTTCGATACTGTTTTTAAGTTCTAAATAAAATTAGACAAATTATAAAATACTAATAAATATATGTTTTTATATTTAATTCTTATTTTTTAAAAAAAAAAATCTTAAAAATAATTTAAAGGAAAATCTGACCAAAAAAAATAAAATTATAAAAAACAAGCCTTTGATTAATATGAAATAAATATATTTAAAAAACCCCAATTAGACTTACTAGTAAAATCATCCTGGTCAGCGGCCGCCTGTTCCGCTGCTATTTCTTCGGGTGTTTTCTTTGATCTGTTGATACCTCCGGCGGCGCCTCCCATACGCTCTTCTTGTTGTTTCTTGAGCTCAGCCTCTTTTTCTTCTCTCTTTTTGATGCCATACTAATTGGGTATATATATTGACATTTAGTTTTTCATTTAAAGCAATACAACAATTATTTTCATGCATTTATGTTGAAAAACTTTATGTTAGTCACATAAATAAAAGATTATAATTTATTTATTTATTGAACACATTGTTAAACAACTCGAAGTATACAATATTAATATCCGAACAATTTAAGCATTTTATTAAATAAACAAAAATTTATTTATTATTTTAAAAATTTGAAACTATGTTTCTTCTTATGTTTGATTAGTTATTCTAATAAAGTAAGGCGTTGTTCACATATTACGTTCGCACTTTTTAAGAAATCTAGACCCCCTCCCTCCCCTGTGTTCGCATGTAGTCATTTAAAAAATTACGTTCGCTTGTCCCTAACCGCTACCCCCGTCCACCATCACAATAAATAAAATATTATCTAATTGCGAACGTTCTTAATGTCTCTACCCCTCCCCTCCCCATTGTTCGCAAAAGTTCGCTTTGGCTAACCCCCCCCCTCCCCTCAAGTGCGAAAGTAATATGTGAACCACGCCTAATGATCTTATAATCTGAGCTCAAAAATCTGTAATAACTGATAACTTTGATTGAATTTATTTTAATATTAAGTATTTTAAAAATCAGAATATTAACAGATTTCTAATTTTAATTTAACTTCAATTAACTTTAAATTTAATCAAAAAATATTCATTATATCATAAATAAAAATTAATATTTTTTCTGAAGTGAATGAATTAATTAAAGGTAAGTAAACAATGAATTTATTGATAAAATAAATAATACTTTATCTCTGATTCCTTGTCTCATCCCTTCCCTCTCTTGTTCTAATTTTCTATGTTTTTCTTGACGCCTTTCCTCTGCCTCCCGGAGCGCATCAAGTCTTTCCTGTTCTAATTGTTGAAGTTTTTCTTTCTCTTCAGGTGTGGGCCCCTCTCCGCCACCCATTTCTGTGTAAATATTATATAAAATAAGTAAAAATATTATATATTTTTATATAATAACAAACCTTTGACGGCTGACAATTGGTTGCCAACCATTTGTTTTGCTATAAATGCAGCCATTATTTTAAAATTTTTACAGTTGTTTTCGGTCTAAGTTTTTATTGAAATTAATTATTATAAAGTTTGCTAATAAATTCAATTTTCTTAGCGATGACTTCAATAAGTTTCACAGTTTCTTAAAAACTTAAATATTAGAGATAAATAAGTTTCAGTGTAAATATCTGTAATAAAAAACACAATATTATTAATTTAAATAATATTTAATTAAAAAATATCTAAATATTTATACAATATAAATCTTATTTGTTAAATATAGATATTATACTATATAGTATGTCACTGTATACATATCATATAAACTATAAATAAACTGTATATCAAAATTTAAAAATTGAAATTTGTCAAAAATGCAAACAAAATCGCTATTATATGTACTATTTAAAAAATAATAATTTATAATTTAATAATTTTTTATAGACATCTAAAATCTTTTCAATTTTTTTAATTACAAAAGTTTTTTAATCAAAAAATCATTAAAGTTAGAAATAACATAAAATATATTTTGTTAAGCATTAAAAGCATAAAATTATGTGATTTACATTAGTTTTGAGTAATTATTATGATTATCATAATAACAAAACTTTCATAATGAATGTGCAAAATGAATAAAAGCTAATATTATAAAAAAGCCGTAAAACATTTTGTAAAATAAAATATTATTAGTTATATGAATAATATGATAAAGTATGAAACAGACATATTTTAATAGACAAATAATTACAATTTGCTTTTAGTATTAGGATAATACATTACTTTTATAACAATGATCTTAATTATTATACATTAAACATCATATCATACAAATTACTACAAATTTCACTTTTAAATATGATTTCTGTCATGAAGTTTACATTAATTAATGCATAAAAATATTTTTGAAGATAACATACCATTAAAATATATGATGAATTTAAAAAAAAAGATTACATGTATATGAAAAAATTATAAAAATTCAAATTATTCATATTATCAATTTTTATGATCTAATAATTTAATATTTTAAGAAATAAGAAAAATATATTTATTTTTAATTAAATTTTTGAATAGTATTTTATACGATTTATACATATTTTTTGTAACATTAAATATTCAATATTATATTTATATATATATATATATATATTATATATATTTTTGTAAAATTGAAATTGCTTTAAACTACAAGTGAACAACACTTCAATTGATAGAGATATCTATGAGTGGGTGTCGTATCACAAGATTATCATCACTTTAGTTGATCTCATTTTGATCTTTACTTCTGAAATCTCTTGAGAAGATTGTGTGTCATTCAACTCAATGGCATTTTATTTATCATTGTTTATAAAATATGTTTTGTTTATTTATCATATTTTTGTTGATTTAAATAAGTTAAATATTATTGAAAATTATTTTATTATTTACAAACTTGATTACTTAGATTTACTCTACAAATAAATTCAAGTTTATTATTGTAATTAGTACACAATATTTGCAATAGAAGTCAAAGGTTTGATTGTTTTTAATTTAATTAAAAATATCTAATAAATCAATCAATAGTTTATAGGACTATAAATAATAAACTATCATTTAAATTTAACAAATATTAATTTAAACTTAAAATATAAAATAATATTACTATATTTTACTTATTTGTAAATACAATAAGCAATTTATTTAATATAATTGTTATTAATTAAAATAAACACATATTTATTCTTAATCTTAAAATCTTTAATAAAACTTTTTATATGTAATTTAATATTTAAAATACATATAAAGTTTAATCATTGAATCTTAATATTTATAAAAATGTTTTATATTAAGATATAAATACAGTAACTCTTATAACTTATAAGACATACAAAATATATTTACAGTACTAATGTGCACTTAAAACTGTATAAAACAAATGTAAAGGTGGTTTAGTTATAGTCATTTCATTATTTTTCAATCAATATATTTAATCTATCGTTTTTTTTACTCATTTTTAGTGAATTTGTTTGTGTTATTAATGTGTATATAAGTTTTCATAATAAAAAAACTAATCACTATTAGATCCAATGAAAGGATATTATTCTCATAAAAAATAAATATAATATACTGTAGTATAGTATATACCTATATATATATATATATAACATGAAAGAAAAAAATGAGAGCACAAGAAATCAGTGGAAATACCGAGTCTTTAAAAATCCTAAGTCTCGGCTCTGCTTTTTATTTGCTATTATTATAGTGTCGACTAAATTATATGATTAATGCCGTGAATAGTGTTTGAATAGCAAAAAGAGGATAAAAAATAAAGAGATTTACTATTGAATGGCAACTCAAAAGATGAGCTAAATTGAAAAGTATTACAACAAATCAGGTATAAGTACTCATTGAAAAAAAGTGTTTTCTCTCACATACATTGAAAACTTACAGTTTTGCGCTACAAATAGCTAACAGTTTAGCAAATGTCAGATATTTTATTGTTAAGTTTTTTTTATTCAATGTATATAAATCTTTACAATAAAAACGTTAAAATATAATTTTCTAATTAATTATACTCTAATAATCACTAAAAATATATACTAAACAAATGTTGTCTCTATAAATAGAATACATAAAAATTTTAATATTAGTATTATTTTTTTAAATACTAAATATTTTTTTTATAAATTTTTTTTCGTAGACCTATAATAATTATAATAAACTTATGTACTTAAAATAGAAAAATAAACAATGTGAATTTGTCAAATTGACATAAAGTTTATAAGTTTGTTTTGAGTCAAATTGATGGTCAACCGAGAAGAAAAGTGATTGAATTTTGCTTACAATAGCTATTATTTAATTGAAAGCAAACAAATGTTAAGAGCATAACAAACATTGTCTATCGCTATATACCGTACTATCAAAGTGTGTATATCTTAATGTCAGTCACTGTTTGTCAGACAATAATACATCAAATTCTGTGTCTAATCGACGACTTGACATAACATTTGCTTTATTTGCTGTCAAATATTGTCGGATAAACAAAATCTATAGTAAACCAAAAAAAGAAAATTTTTGTTTCAAAATATAAAGTTAACAATAATTTTTTTTTATACATTTTGTTCACTATTATTAAAGTTATGTTTATTATATTTTAATATTAAACAATTTAACTTATAGAAATAAATCACCACTAAATAAATTCGCATTAGTTTAGGAAATCATTTATATATAAATTTAATTAGATATTTTATCTTACTTTTTTTATTATGCATATAAAGTAACAAACAATAAAAATAATAAGTTATATAAGTATAGGATTAACATAAAACTGATTGCATATCATAACAGTTCCACTCATAACAGTTTTATTATTATTATTATTATTATTATATAAAATATAATGTCAGTCACGAGACAGTAACAGAATAACAGTACACAAGAAGTTGTTGTTTCAACGATTCTGTGCATTCAATTCAATGATATTTTTTTAGTCCGTTTCCCATAACAGCCTTTCCTTTAGCACAAGTAATTCACTTACTTTACGATTGATTGTACTATCATTTTGTTTGGCGTCCGACACGATGGCACCAATGCTTTTGTGTCTGTCCTCTAACCGCTCTTCAACAACAATAACCAATTGCGCCAATTATATAAAAGCACTTTTTTTTACTTACTATCCATTTATCTTCAATTACAATATCTGAATTCAATAGTATATGTATAACATTTCACATTCTTTAAATTTTACATTTAATAAACAAAAAAAACAATACAATTTTTAACTAATGTTATTTACATAAAATACAGTATTATAAATGTTCAAAACAATAGCCAAAACTACGGAGAATTATAGATTAGGAGAGTATAGCGTGAATTGTAGTGAAACTAATATGACTGAGACTCTAATATTCTGAATATTCTGTTTTCAGAATTAGCCTATAATTGGCTTATTTGACTACCAGTGCAAACATTAGTTACAGCAAACATATATATATATATATATATATATATATATATATATTGATAAAAAAATCAATGATTTACTTTAATGATTTTGCTTATAATCAATATACAGTAGAAACTATATTATAATATATGACATTTTTTTAGAGCAAATACTGTCTGTTATAAAACCTGAAAAATAAACTACAATACATTAATATTAATAATATTTATTATTTGTAAAATGCCAATATATCATATTTATCAAAAACATACAGTATATTATTAAAATTAATCAATAGAAACTGCCCAATAATTATAATAAATTATGAATGCTATCAATATTTTAATACTTGTTTACATCATTAGGTTTATTGATAAAATATATTTGGAAAAACTACTTTTCTGTATTATTGATTAAAACAAATTTTTGAAAAATTAAAATCAATTATTATTATAGTTAAGTTAGCAGTTTGTTATAAAATTACATATTATTGATATAATTTACAGTATTTACCATTAAGAATATTTTGTTAATAATTGTTATATCATCATAAACATTTTGTCGATTTTTTTAATTCTCAAAAAATAATTTTTAAATTAAAAACATTAATGTTTTTTCTGACAATGCTATTATTTCCTATATTTAAGAAAAAATATAGTTTATTTAATTTATAGAAAATGCTGACATATTTATAATATGTATATATAATTGATTGAGTCATCAAACAATTTATTGATTTGTTTTTTAAAAATCAACTTTAAAAGTGAAACGTATAAAATTACATTTTTTACTGTATGTGCAAAAATGTCACAAACAGTAATAACTTATGGTTTAAACAAAGTTTATTTTGTTTATGTTCTCAATGTTATACTTATACTTTAGACCGCAAAACAATTGATTTTTTATTAACATTCAATGTTCATAGCATTGGTCATCAAATGTAAAGTCTTTACAACAACAATGGTATCAATTTGTATAAATTTTTAAAGATCATTGTGGTATACATTTTGATATTACAGTATATTATAAGTAACATAATTTAAGAAATAATATTATATTTATATTTTTTAGTAAAATTTATATTCAACAAAAATTAAAACAATATAGTATAAAATAAAAATAAATGTATTTTTCAAAAATATTTTTGTTTTACAATAAAAAATAACTTACATTTCATTGATGCTAAATGCTTAAAATTTCTTGTATAAAATCTAAATAAAAAAATATTAAAATTAAAAATAAAATAAAATTATTTTACATATAAATTCTAATAATAATGATTGACATAATCTTAATAATAGCACAACACAAGTACTTGTCATGAAATGATGTCAATTTCAATAAATATTTTATAATTTGTTTGTTAAGAAATGTTTATATTTAATAAATATAGTATTATTGGTAGAAATATTTTTTAAATGCTTTATAAACTTAGTCGTCAAACTTCATACAATACATTAGTATAACATTGGGTCAGAAATTTTGAAATACATATCTAAACAATACGGCTATTAAATTGAATTAATAAATGTTAATATATTTGATTAAAGCAAAATAGCTTATAACTGACCGAGTTTTGAACCCAATGCTTAAGATTGAAAACTCTTTACATATTATAATATATAGCTTTCTTGCGTAACATATCACTACTGTATAATCAATCACAATATAAATACATTTATTTAATGACAAGTACTATAAAATAAATAACTATTTTTATTATTTAAACTAACACTAAATTTCATAATTATTTTTTAATGTAATATTAAACTAATATAAATAATTTTTTTCCAGTAATATTTAATATGGAGTAATATTTTCAGTACCAGTTATGGACAGTTGTAATGTCTTTAAACCAATGATATCGTTGTTATCGTTGTGTTTTAATATTGTTTCAGCAAATACTATAAATACAAAATAAAAATAATAATTATACAATAGTATCAAACATTTTAAATACAGTATGATATCTACTGTATGTTAATATATATTATGAGAATGAAAACATATTTAGATTAATAAAAATTTTTGATGTTATAATATATATATATATATATATTATTTATATATATGTCATAAATTAAATTTTTAACAAATGTATAATAAATATTTTTTAGCTTACTATCATTATATTATACATTATATTAGGATATAAACTTAAAGGACAATAAACTAAATGCTAACACAAAACACATAAATATTATGTATTATATTATTATAGTAAATCAATATATATTTAAATATAGTTTTGCCATCTATTATAGCGTTTTTTTTTTTGATTGACTCTTTGATCAAAACTTTAATTACAAATTTAGATTAACAAATATTTAATAATATTTATTAACAAATATAAAAAATCATTATCAATTTATTAAATTAAAAATAAATTGTAGTTTATATGATATAAATTATATCATAAAAATTATTTTATTCAAATAATTTTATATTTTGTTCGTATAATAAAAATATCTTTTGATACTATAATATTATTTTAGTTTAGTTTATTTGTTTAATTATTTGCATATGATTAAAAAGTAAAAAAAAGTGTTTTAAATTGACATTAATTGTATTAAAGATATATATAATATATATATATTCTCAATAAAATATTTTTGAATATTTTTTGCTTTACAAAAATGTGTTATTTTTGATAWTTGTTTTGTCAAATTTTAATGCCTCCGAGGATTTATGCAAATATTATTAAACTTTTATACATTAAAAACATTTTTTATATTTATGCCTTAACTTTATTTTTACCAAAATATAAAGGTTTACCAAAAAATAAACGACATTAAAGTTTTCATGTTTAATATTATATAAATATAATATGAATAAAAAAAGTGATAATACAATTTGTTTGTATCACTCAATAAAGTTTTTATATGCATTTAATCCATTGTAAACATAAAAATAAAATTTTCTCTTTAATTCTATTAAAATATATTTTCTATTATACTGTATATTGTATATAAATATATATTATATATAAAAAACATTATAAATTTAAAATAGTGTATCAAACATTTGCTTTGTATTGTTTAATAAACTAATAGTATTTTTGTTGAATAAACACCAGAATATTTTGGATTTTCATTGAATAAAGCAATTCTGATTTAACTTCACTTAACAATACATTTGATAGTTATATGCAAACAAGTAATCAAAGAATCATAAATAAATAGATGAATGTAAAGCACTTCAATGTAATGTTTACTTTTAAACTAATAATTTACTATACAATAACCATTCAAAATAATAATAATATTTATAATAATATTATTTATTTCAATGACATTCAATTAAAACACGTACTTATTAGCAATTAATTATAAATCTCTAAAAAATAACAAAAAATTAGACACTATAATATTTATACAAAAAATATATTTCTGTATTAAATATTAAACATTATTTTACACAATTAAGTAGGATTTATGTAACTAATGAAAAATAATTTCTATCACAAAATAAATCTTATGTAAAACTTTTTTAGAAAAAATTCAAAAATTACATATCCTCTTAGGTTTTAAAACATATTGAATAATGTAATTTACATCATCTTTTTGTAATTATTATGATTATAAAAGTAACAATTTTCAGATAACTAATATTATATGAATAAAATGATTATAATAAAAATATAGTGAATATAAAGCTTATGTCAAAACTTAAACCTTACAAAACTTCTGGTTTTTGTTTGAAAAAAATAATAAATTACGTTAATATACAAATTGTGCATTTAATACAATGAAATAATGTCTGTATAATGTAAAAATGCATTTTAATATCAAAATAATTATGTATACTATAATATGTTTTAATAATAAAAGAATATTTTTTTATTTATATTATTATTATTATTATTATTACAATTATTTTAATAAGCTTATAGAACTACATAAAATTTACTTCTATACAAATTACAACTAAAAAACTTTATAACAATATTACATTTTATAACAAATAGACTTTTTTAGTATTATGTTTTATAAAATTATGCATTCATTTTGTAACTTAAAAAATTTGATGTGTTTGTGATATATTATACATATATAACAAACTGATTAAACAAATGACTGTCATTATACCCTTTCTAGTCATTAAGCTTTGCCGACATAAATAAGTTCAATGGATATCATATTATTGCAATCGCGTCCAACAAATGTATTGTTTGAATAAATGAAGCCTAAAGGAGCCATAAATCGCTATAAATGTTGTCCAAAAGTGAATAAAATTCAAGCAAAAAATATATGGCATTTGTATTAATATAAATGTGTGTCTATTAGGAAAACAGTAAAATGTTAGCATAAAACAGCTAAACATTTAGTTTTTTTTAAAAAAGTTTTATAGCAACATAAAAAAGTTTATCAATATTAGTATACAGTATTAGCATCTTAATTATCATATACTGTCTAATGTCTATTACTAAAAATCTATACTACAGATTATTATACAGTAGATAGTTGTGCAAATGTATATACAGTATATATATTATGCAATATTTATTTGTTTATAAAATACAGTATTAAGGCATTAACTTACTTTTATTCAAACACTTATATTACATTAATTTCAGTAATAGTTTAAATAACTTAAATTATTAAATTAATAATTTTAGAAAATTGCTTAATTTACTAATTAGTATGCAATATAAGTTTGGTGTAAAGCAAACAGTACACATTAAGTAATATTATATAACATTAGAAATTATGAACTAATATTTTATGATATTTACAAAAATTACATTTTTATTAACGACATGAAGTATCCTAAAAATTGCAAATATTAAAATAAATAAAGTGCTTAAACAACTGTAATGTTAATAATGCTATTATAGATTAGTGTGTTTAGTTGACCAATTTATAACATAAATTTATAAATTTATAGTTTTTTCAAATGTAAAACACGCAGAAAATATTAAATTTTATTACTTGCAATTTGGTTGACATAATAACCGATAATAATCATAAAAATAAACGATTTATAAACTAAATATATGTTGTTAGCAAATAAATTTTCTCTCACTTTTTTATTTAATAACTAAACTATTTTTTACATAATTATTTATGGCATATTTTGTGTCGTTTTATTTACAATTTTCAAAAATTTATAAACTTAATGTTTTGATAATAATTTAAATTTATGAGTTTTAAAATATAATTAACTTAACACTATATCATTTAAAAGCTATTTAAACAATAGTTTGTTATTAAATTTAAAAACTTAAAAAACTTTTATATTAATATAAGTCTTGTGTAAAATCAACAATAAAATCATAATAATATTATATATTTATAAATCATATTTTTATAATACGACAATATAGACAAATGTGTTATATATTTAATTGAAAATGTGTTTTATTATATTTAGTAAAACATTTCGTTGTTAGAAAAACGTGTTTCCAAATTAAATCATTGACTTATTTCATAAACTCTATTATTTTATATTAAATTTATATACAAAGTTAAAATGAAAAAATACTTTTGGTTTATATTTGATATATGAGTTGAAACTGAATTTATTTTAACTGTAAGTGAGAGATAAAATTGAATTCACAACGGATTGCAAATATTGTAACAGAAAAATGGTTTCAATGTTGTGCCAAAACTTGCGATGAAAAGCTTAAAAAAGTTTTTGATGTTTTTTATATATTTTTTTGGTATATATTTTTCAAATCCTCAATATAAACCGTGAACTGACTGTTAATATTGGATTTTTTGTGTGTGTAAATAAATATACCATATAATTACAATTGTATATTTATATTGACAATAATGAAATTGATAAGTTATATTGTTTATAATTATAGGATAAATTCTAATTTGACTCAATATTTTAAATATCTAAACCTTTATTTAATATTTAAGCTAACAAACAACAATATCCATTTTATTTACATATATAAATCTTCAAATTTTGTGTAAATAATAATAAAAACCATTTTGCAACATATAATTTTTATGTACAGGGTGACTATAATGTTATATCAATAATTATTGTAAAAATTTCTAGTTATTTTTATTAAGTTATTTATTATAATAATTTTAGAAATATTTATTTATTAAATTCAATTTTTTATATAAATGATTCACTAATTAAATATTCAGTATTATCTTAAGTATAGTATTTTATAAAAATTCTTTAAATTAATTTTAGATATCTTTAAAATTTTGGATATTTAATATTAAATTTTTAGTATTGACATTTACTTAAAACAAATTGTTTATTACCTAAGAATTTAAATATTAATTAGTTTATAATTATAAATTAATAATATTGAGTTAAATAAATAAAAATATTAACATAAGTCAACAATACTATTTTTCATATTTAATAATCTAAATTATTTTATTAATAAATAAAACAATTAGTTTATTATAAGTAATATTAATAGTTATTTTTTGTTTTGTTTAACTTTTTCATAAATTATGCTTTTAGCATACACTGTACGTTATATTTTAAATAACATTAATAAAATAAAATACAATAAATATATTTATATAATATGAGATTAATATTTATTTTAATCTTAAAAATAAAAATTTTAAATTATATATATATATTATAAAATATTATATTTGGAAAATAAATTTTTATATAAATGTGACAATGATAAATTTGATGCCCCGGGTCATTTAACAGAATCAATTGAAATATATTTATATAAATATATAGAATTCCTATTGTTATTTGTATCACTATTTTGCCATTTCCTTTTTTAGTTCAACCTTAGCCTTAAAGCTCAGGTATTAAAAGTTTTCTGCAAACAGAAAATGTGTCATAAATTTATCTTTTATATGCCTTTCTCTGTACTAAATCGTATATAACTTAGAAACCAAACC